TATAAGAGACAGCCCCAAATGATCATGTTCAACAGAAAGGAATAAAAGCAATGCATAATCATGTATTAGACAATTTGTCTCTGAAAGTGGAAAGGTTTCCCAGGAAGAGATATTTCTATAAAGTATCATCATAGATTTAAAAAAAAAAAAAATTCTACTTCATCCCTATTTATGCTGAGAAGTCAGTGAAAAAGAGAAGTTATTTCATATTTTGTCCTCTTTTTTTATTTTACTACCATTGACCATTTTCCCTTTCTTTCTTCTACCCTGTGATCTACATCCTACTTCTGCATAGGTCCTAAACTTACATGAATTTTACAGAGTGCAATTTAAAATTAAGCACATTCCTAAAAGCTTTCCTGAATAGGAAGGGATTAAAAAAACACATGTGAAATGAAGTATTTGTACAAGCACTTTGCTGAATTATAATGACTTCAAAACTAAACCCAAAAGCTTCTGCTGCCTGGCTCCTCTGATCTAACATCCTCTGTGCGTGAACAGTGACATGCAGGACTTTGTATTTTTAATAATTCCGTATTCTTTTGCAAATGTCCTATCCACAGAGAACAGAAATGACCAAGAGCAAATACACTCACTGTGATGCATTGTACTTCAAATATATATTACGGAATTGTGGAACATGCATTTTCTAAGCCTCAAAGAGGATAAGCTCCATGCCCAGTAGTGTGTCTGTGCATAAAGCATGGCTTTGGGGAGTTTGTGGTGGTATGTAACATTTATGTTCACCTTGCAGAGGTTGCACTAACTGATCTCAGAGGAGGAGTTTTGGCTCAGGAAAGGATGTGGTAAAATCTGCTGGATGATGAGAGGAATCACTGGATTCCTTGAGCAAGCGCCAGCTAGTTTGTGAAAATCCCTGCAGAAAATGAGACTGCTTTCTCCTTTGGACAGTAATGGAAAGATGGAGCAGAAGCAATTCCTGGCTTCCCCTGAGACAAAGTCAGGCAGGCTGCTATGGGGAGCTGCAATAAGCATGTCTTTTTCTTCTGGTCTATTCATCACTGATGTCAAGAGCATGACATTCTTAACAAGGATCAAACGCTTTTCTCTATAATCTATTTCTCAGATGAGGTCTCGGGGAAAAAATGGGGTAGCAGAGGACAAGGAAGGAGAGGAAATTAATGAGGGAAACGCAAAAGGAGTCTTCTGTCACTAATCACGGATACTAGAAGAGATATAGCTCTTTTTTTTTTTTTTTTTTTTTTTTTTTTTTTTTTTTTGTTATACTAAAATTAGGTTATTTCTGGTTCAGTGAACTATGATTCACTATTATAGCTACAAATTTTGCAGAAGACAGACAGAAACAATTGTTGATTTAAATCCACAGTATTTTATTTTATGGATATAATTTATTTTCTTGCTTTAGGGGACCTCTCCATTTTAGAATAATTTTAAATAGAACACTAATACCAAAATTATCCATTTGTGCAATTTTCAAGAGAATTTGGTGGCTCTTTTAAAAGGACCAAATAAAAGAAAAAACACAAAGTGACATTAAAAACCCATAAATTCATCATTCCTCTTGACTAAATCTTTTATAAACAACTTAAAAAATCAGTTTTGGTTATATTTCTTCACAAAATACAGTGCAATTCTGAGTGAACTGAAGAGTGGAAACCATGGATTTGTCTATTTTCAGACAGTCATTGTTCTTTTTAATTAAATGTCAGGTGCTCTCTGATGGGCTTCAAAGACTAGTTTAGGGCTGATTTCACATGTTGAGTATATATAAATACACAATTATGCAAAGCTTTCACAGGCCAAAGCTATAATTCAGCAAAATACTTAAAGAATAGGCCTACTGTACATACCTTAATACTCACTTAACACTAACAGGTTGAAATACTTTGCAAATTCGAAGCACAAGTAGTAGGGTCCCTTTACAGAATAGTATTGAAATACATTTCCAAATCTACACTTGTTCAGAAAAAAAAATAAAAAATAAGCATGACTGAACACACTTGTTTAAATACCTTCCTTAACTGGTGCCTACAAGTAAAGAGTAGAAACAGATAGGAACAGAAGATGTATGTCTTAATGGAGAGCTCTATATGATGTTGCAAAACACAGACTTACTTGAGAGTGGTGAGCTCTGTAAGGGATGGCTGGGTGGCCTTGAGATAGCTCTCTCTCCGTGCAGCAATCTTTGGAGATGGCTTCGGACTTGAGTCTGAGTCTCCACTGTCATCATCCCCCATGGCTTTGATGTAACTGCCACTACGCATTCGTCGGCAGGGGATCTCATCATCTTTCCCTCGTGGAGTGAATCCAGTCCATTCATCTTGAGGAACCTTAAATGATAAACACAATTCTCTTATTAGTGCACTCTTCCCTGATATAGCTGCACAGCAAGATTTGATCATGCTAAACCACAACAGAGCAATAACAAGAACTCTCATGGCCAAGGGCACATCCTCAATCCCATTTGACCATGGCCTGCTGTTTCAGTGGAGGGCCACTTCTCCTCTTGCATAGTCACAAGCACCTCTGGAGTATGTTATTTTCCACCTCTTATCTGGGAAGTTTCTAGCAAACATGTTGACATAGGAGCCTCAGTTAGGTATAATATTGGGCTGGATAAATCTTTTTATTTGGTGGTTTTCATTCAAAGCATTTGCAAACCAGATCAGAGTATTTTTGGTTCAGCTCAACCTTTTGAACACCTTCAGGGAGTCACAAAAGATGAAATACGAATCCCTATATCACAATCTTTTCAGACTGAGTGTACTTAGTTACACTCACCAGGATGATTTTGGTTCAAGATACATTTCAAATTAGTAGAGCTATGTATTAATCATCACAAAAGTAGGCTTGTAAGTATGAAATTATACTACTATTGCTTCTATAGCATAATTAGTGCGACTAAACACCCATGAACTTTCAGGGATCCTCCTTTCGAATTATGCTAGTCTGAGTGTCTGAGTCATACAATTCATTATTCCCTTCTTTTTCTTCTTCTTATTGATGTACTTTATTCCTCTTGATCTGAAGTAAGCGATGTCCATTCTCTGCATTGGAAATCTGGAACACTGGGGATATGCATTCATGAGATTTTGGGACATAGCAGAGGACAGTCCAAGAACATGGTGCTGGTGCTCTTGCCCACCCATCCTCTCTGTTCTTCTGCTCCTGGGGCTTCTAACCATTGTAAAGCAACACCTTTCTCTTTTCTGGGAGAACAGAAACAACATGCAGTGGAACAGGGTCCTTGAAGGAATTGTCCTGAAGTTATTTTGCAGAAACTCCATTTTTATAGTAAAGGTGAAACAGCAAAAGCGCTTTTCAGTTAAACATATTTTGTGTTAGATTTAAATAAAAGTAGTTGTAAATTTTTAATTTGCTGCTTTTCTGGTTATTCTTAGTGAATCAACTCTATAAAGCAAGTTATAACTACAATGCTCAGAAACCCTTACAAGCCATATTAAACAAAGGGTCTCAAATCTGGATTGCTAAAATTTGTCCAGCAGCTTACAAATATTGGCATCTACCAGGATAATCACCGGGTGTCTCTTTTCTATGGAGAGTGTGTTCTTCAACAACATTTAACTTCTGCTGAATATCTTGTATATACATTGCTTCCCAAACTTCAGCCAGAGCATTTACATGCCAGCTTGTTTAGACAACCAAAACTGAAACACTGGACTGCTTACTAACTAGTTTAGCTGTTGATTCCCACTACAAACGTAAGCCTAAAACCAGCCTTTCAGTGTAGATCAAATTTTTATGGCATTTTATCAATCTAGGCTGCTATAAACTGAAAAAGTCCCTGTGCTATACAAATGAAAGAAGATATTTAATAATCCTAAGAATTCATGGGCTTATAACTAATTATAATTAATGAACCAAACTATTCATAAGCCATGCCATTGCTTGCTTCATGCTGATTTCAAACCCAAGACCTTTCCAGTTTTCTTCCTTGATTGACTCTTTTTTTCCTGCTGCTGACATCATGATTTAAGGTTTTGAAATTCCAGGCTCAAACAAGTCTTTCCTTCCTCTTGTGCTCAGTCTGAGCTCTCTCTTTTCTACCAGATCTCTCTTGAACAAAGCTCAATTGGAGCTTTGATATTTTCCTCAGAGGACTTAAGATTTAATCCTGGAAGTTACTCTAGTTTGTATCTTTATCAACATTTCTTCTTATGACAGTTTGTCACGAAACTTATGACAGTTTCTCAGGACTGACTTCCTTCTCAGTTGCTCCATGGTTTATTTAACCAATTCTTTCCTTATGCCTTTTAAATTTCTAATTTTTCTTTAAACATTCTTTAGTTAATGACTCTGGTAACTCTACTATTTAAATTCTTCTCTTCCAGCAGCATGCAAAGTTTGTTGCTGTTTTCTTTTTTTTTTTTTTTTTTTTTTTTTTTTTTTTTTTGTCCGGGCTTCAAGAATATAAGTTACTTACGGCAGGAAAATATTTCAATGTCCAGGTTTTTTATTGAACAATGGCTTGCAGAATTGTGTATCTATAGGAAATAATTGAGCAAATACACTTAAACCCACCGAAAATAGTCTTCTAGAAAAGGGTAAGACTAACTAAGAACTGGAGTATTACAGACTGAGAGTACTAAGTACTGACAGAACCCACTGAAGGAACAGGATTGAATATATGTCTCTGATGTTTCCACATCAAATAAAAAAAAAAAAGAAAATTAAAAAGAAAAAGAAATGTCTTAATTCTGTGGCTTTTAAGTTTATGTCTAGACCCCAGGTCTGGAAAGTTGATGGTTTCCTGGTAGGTAAATGTCTGTAAAGTGCAAAGGAAGTGCACTTGGCAGTGGTTTTGATTCTGATTTTTAATATCTAAGACTATGGATCATTCTACGCTCCTCCTCCAGCCACTTATGACAGACAGAGGACAATATCTTTTCAGGTCTTTTTCTTGCAGTGGTTCTAGCCCTACAGCATCATTAAACAGCAGAAATACAATCTATGTTCATACCACCCCTCACATACATTTTGGAATCTACAGCTCCTGCTTGTCAACTGTAAAACCTTGACTCTTCAAATCACTCATGTTCAAAAAAGAAGTTAACACAGGTTTAGTAAAACCAAGTTCGGCTGACATTTTGATGACATGCTCAGACTTCAGTCAGAAGTTTGAAACCTGTAATAGTGTTTTTCCAATCACTTTTCAGGCAGATATTAGATATCTGAGCATGTAATCTGTGACTTCTCAGAGGACATGCACTTTAATCTGTTTAAAATTTTATTCATTATGCTTTAGTTAAAGATCTGTGCTTTTTCTCATTGAAATAGTGAATCAATCTTTAATGCACTAAATAAAATATGTTATTATAATGTTAAGGTTGGTGTCTTTAACAGAAGAAGTCAGGGAAAGTTACAGTGCTCATATAGCATCCATAATTCAGGCAAGCTGAACACTTGTAGCTTTATGAAATAATAGACATACTGTTAAATTTAATGCTGTAGTTTATAGGTGCAATACAAATGATAACATATAGTTGCTGTGGGCACCATAACTCTGAAATTCTTGAGTTCTGTTATCAGTAACTCCATACATAAGTACAATGCCTCTTATCACAAAGCATCTCAAAATTATTTAGATATGATAGGCCAAGTTTTGAAAGCTGGCTGCAATGAATTTACCACAAAACATTCTATTTATACAAGCAAACACTGTGTACCATGATGAGTTTTGAATGCATTGCTCTAGTCCCAGAATTTGTATGATGTGTTGGGGTGGAAGCTTCCAGTTTGAGCTCTGTTCACCCAGTGAAGTGAGCAACCACTGGAAAACATCATGCTACCTTTTTAGCTGCTCTTCCACCTCTTAAACATTCTAGGTGCAGAAAAAGAAAGCTGAGCTGTCCACACAGAGACCAGGGGCAAAGCAGTCTCAGGGAGCGCCACAAACCCACTGCCTGGTTTGTGTACTGGACGTTACCTGCATGTGCAAACCCAAGGAAAGTGTATGAATGCAGCACAAGTTCCATTACCATTTTATGGGTTTAAGGATAAACCCTGTATGTGCCAAAGAGAAAAGAATGACTATGGTTAGGAAAAATATCCATATTTAGAAAACAGCCTAAAATATCAACCCAGATATGGTTCTAATTTCAGTTAACACATTGAGGAAGTCAGAGTGTTTGTAAAAACTATCTTGTGTGCCTAGACAAATCTGCAGTAGAAGAATGTAATAGTTATTTGATTAAAGATCTATTTTAGTTAAACAGTTTGTGCAGTTTTCTTACGGATATTTAAGGCTGAGTGTTTTTTGTTTTTGTTTTTGTTTTTTTTCCTTTTCCTCTTTTTTTCTTTTTTCTTTTCAGTAAGGTTTCAGTGTTTAAAAGAATATTAGGGAAAGAAATTTGGGTCCAGTTTCCCTTTATCTTATTTCAGTTTTACAAAAGTCAGAAACCCTGATTTCAGAAGTTGGAGTAGGAGAAAACAGTAAGGCATCATGTAACCGGTAGGGAGCATTTGCAGGGTAAAGAAATGCTTTAGAAGAAGTTGTAGATTTTTGCTTTGGCTATTAAAAGTTGTAACACTTTTAATGCAAGGATTGTAGAAGACTGTCTGTGTATTACTTGAGTAGGACAAACAACCCTTAAAGCTCATAATTTCCTTTCATTGTACCTATTTTGTTTAGAAAATACAGGCAGATGAAATAATGTCAGTTTCAGTACTTCTGTGCCTATAGTCAAATACCTCAAACAATACCTACTAAAAGTAGTAACCCGATTTTCAGAGTGCTGTCTTCGGTGCCTAAAAGGAACGTCTGTAACAGCTCATAGCAGACAACACAATTTACTGTCACAGTGAAGTGTTTCATGTCATGGGAAAAAAGTGAAACATAAACGCTCTCAAAACTCCAAATTGTGAAACTAAAATCAATCACATTATTCCATTCTGTTTCTATATATATTGTACTATACATTCTATAGAGTGTTTCCTTCTGTTTATAGGAAATATGCTGGGGAAAGTGTCTATGTCAACCTCCAGCTCTTTTTTTTCACTCAGAAGGTCTGCACAGATTTTCCCACAGGCTCTTACTCTGTTTGAACAGCCAATACTATGTCTGGCAAGGCCACATACTACACTGCACATAAGTGCATATGCACGGGATCGACTGCCTTAGAGGATTAATGGCATTAAGACTGACATACCTGAAATAAAGCTCTTTCATGCTCTTAAGAAAATCATATTATCCAATTACCTTGGCAATACCTTTTTTCAGTATCAGAATATCAAGCAGGAACATCACTTGCATGATTGTTTTTTCTCACATGAAAAAGGGGGAAGAGCTAAATTCAGATCTAACAATGAA